CACCACCAACCCCACACCACCACACCCTCACACTACCCTCAACCACCACACCCCCCCTTTAACTATAGTCAGCAGTACCCCAAACCCCCAGCACCCAAAGACACTCCTGCCTCCTGTTTCCAGCCTTAATAATAAGAATGCAGCAGTAATGTAAGACTAAAGTAATGAACAATTAAATGAAGCAGCCTCCCTTCCCTTGACCATTTGAGTGAATCAGGGGGTTCCATTAGTCTTAAAAGATTAGTGGATTAAATCAAGGATGGATTTGATCTTGTGACATTTGAGTTATTAGTCTGGTGTTATAACATCGACTCTACTCAATGAGCACATGGCTGCTGTTGACCCTGATGTCAGACTGTAATCGAGACTTGCCATCCTGTGTCGGAGCAGGAGCTTCAGTGTGGACCACGTCATGGAGCGAAACTACGACTTTGACCTGACGTACATCACGGAGCGGATTATTTCAGTCTTCTTCCCACCGGTGCTTGAGGAGCAACGATACCGCAGCAATCTGAAGGAGGTGGCCCAAATGCTGAAATCCAAACACGGAGACAGTTACTTGGTAAGTTCTTGTTTTTCAAAACTGAGCAGCTCACACAACCCTAGCACACCTCAGGGCAGTCAGTGGAACTGGTTTGTAGTAGGTTCCTCCAAAGATTTACACTTTGGACTGTTACTGTAGTTTTATACATCCGGTTGTAAAACTGAATAATTACGTAGGGCACAGGAGCAGGGCATTTAGTCCAACTACTCCCATGTTGACGTTCATGCTCTGCTTGGCTATCCTCCTGTCTTTCCTCATCTAAAATTTGTAATTGTAACTCTGTATTCCTTTCTCCTTCAGATACTTAAATCAAACAAAAGAACTGTGGATGCTGGAGATCTGAAACAAAACTGAATTGCTGGCAAAACTCCGCAGGGCTGGCAGCATCTGTAGGGAGAAAGCAGAGTTAACACTGCATGTGCAGTGACTGATGAGTCTGATGAAGGATCACCAGACTCGAATCATCAACTCTGCTTTCTTTCCCAGATGCTGCCAGACCTACTGGATTTCAACAGCAGTTTCTGTTTTATTGTCCTTCAGATACTTTTCTGGTTTCCCCTTAAATGCAACTAATCTATTCATTTTAACCCTGTGGTCGTGGGTTGTCACCACTCTTTGAGTGAAGAAGTTTCTTCTAAATTCGATGTTGAATTTCTTGGGGATTTCTTATGTTGATGGCCTCCAGTTCTGCTCTTTCCCAGAAGAGGAAACATTCTCTCTGTAACCACTCTATCAAAATCTTCCATAATTGTAAAGACCTCCATACATCAGCTCCGGGAGGGAAGAGACCCAGCCTTTCAATCCTTTCCTGATAATGTATGCTCACACCCATTTCTGAGATCATCTTTGTCAATCTTCCCTGCACCCTCTCCAGTGCCTCTATGTCCTTTTCATAATGTGGATGCAGTAATCTAAGTGTGGAGCACGTTTTAAGATTGTTGTGTGATGCCACAATGGTTCCAGGTGGCACTGAGTCCCACAGACTGAGAAGGTCACCAGCTTATTTGGTGGCTCAGTGGCTAGCACTGCTACCTCACAGCGCCAGGGACCTGGGTTCGATTCCACCCTCGGGTGACTGTCTGTGGAGTTCCTCCCACAGTCCAAAGATGTGCAGGCTAGGTGGATTGGCCATGCTAAATTGCTCCGTAGTGTCCAGGGATGTGTAGGTTAGGTGGGTTATAGGGGGATGGGTCTGGGTGGGATGCTCTGAGGGTCGGTGTGGACTTGTTGGGCTGAAGGTCCTGTTTCCACACTGTAGGGATTCTATGATATTCATCTTTAGTGTGTGCTGTTTTGACCTGGTTGAGAGCTCAGGGCTTTCAAATGACCCTTTTTGCATCAGGAAGATTGAAGTCAGCCCTTGGGGCTAGTAGTTTTCTGGTGATTACAGCAGCAATTTCTATTCCTATCACAGAAGCATAATAAAACAAAGTATGACACCAAGACACATGAGGAGATATTAGTTCAGATGATGGGGTAAGTTTTAAGGACTGCATTAAATAAGGAGAGAGAGATGGAGAGGTAGAGGGAGGGAATTCGAAAGCTTAGGGTCCAGGAAACTGAAGGCACAATGCCATTAGTGGAGCAATACTAACTGGGAATGCACAAACAGGCCAGAATTAGAGGAGCACAAATATCTTGGGAGGTTACGGGGCTGGAAGAGATTACACAGCTAGGGAGGGCTGAGACCATGCAGGTGTTTGAAAAAAGAATGGGAATTAAGATGTAGCTTGACCAAAAGCCATTGTACGTTAGCAATTACAGGGGTGTTAGGGGAATGGGACTTGGTGCAAATTAAGAGTATTTTTGACGCCACAAATTTGCAAATGATAGAATGTGGGAGACCAACTGGGAGTGTGGTGGAATGGTCACATCTAGAGGCAGTGAAGACAGAGAGAAAGGTTTCAGTGGCAAATAAACTGAGGTCAGGCAGTGTTATGGAGGCAGAAGTGGGCACTTTTGTTATACGTGCCATTGGAGGCGCGAAGAAATGCAAGATGGGATACCCCAGCGTTATCCCAACACCGTGACCAAGTAGTTCATAGGACGCAATGACTCAGCTAAGGCATTGCAGAACTGCTGGTGCCTGAACAATTGTACAAATCCTAGAGTGAGGCTGCCAGAAGAGAAAGCCAAGAGAAGGACCAACACGCAAGGAAAATATTTTTTTCGACCTTCCGTGGTAATCCCCACTGCTCCTTGATGCTCTTGGAGATTTAGTCCTGCTGGCAGTTCAATTGAATTATGACTAACATATCCTCCTTGTCCATTCCCTTTGACTTTTGAGGTGATGTTTTTGTCTGAACAGTGAGTGCCTGTGGCGTCATCTTAACACGAAGGAATTACTGAGATTGCAAGTGAGATCGAGCTGAATTAACAGAGATCAGCAGATATATGGACCCAGTCATTAACTCAGGATTGGTTCACTGCTGAGTTTAACTTGGCTTCTTCACAGTTATCCTACTGATGTCACTGGCAACGACTAAAGCAAAGTATTCCATCAAAAAAAGATTCATAAAAACAGAGAAAAGCCTGCAATAGTTTCCAAAAGGGTCCCTAGGTGGGACCAGCTTGCTTTTTTAGCTGCCTTTGCAATGAATTAATCGATCAAAATTTGTGGTCATTTGCACCTTCCTGTGAATCCCGCAGATTGTTCTATAGAGTGGCAGCATGAATTCAATAGGCTGAATGGCTTCTTTCTACAAAGGAATAACTTGCTCACTTGATATTTTGAGAAATTCCCACACATGAAATCTGAGTACGAGCAGTAGCAGAGGAATTTAGTGGAGAGGATGCAAAGTGGCTTACGAAGGTGCTGGGTTAAAAATGGTGGTTGAGGTTTTCTGCCTCTGCATTCCTGATTTCTCATTGGTTTTCAAGTGAATGGATGGAAACTTGTGCTCTCATAAGAGCAGCAACAGAAACACCTGGTTTCTATTCTGACATGTTTTGTATGTTGTATGATGAGGGGTTGTGGTTTAAAATTGATTTGCAATTACAGATACCTTCACGAGGCCTCCCTCCTAGCACATACAAGAATATGCCATCATCCATAGAGCCAGTCACAATGATTCTCAGTCACTGACAGGCACTCTTGGTGGTATCCTCTCTACCATCACCACCACATATCGTCCTTGGGCGGCATGGTGGCTCAGTGGTTAGCACTCCTACCTCACAGTGGCAGGGATGCAGGTTTGATTCCACCCTCAGGTGACTGTCTGTGTGGAGTTTGCACATT